CTTGGGTTGTTGGGTGCTGCAAATTATTTCAGACTGCTTCAGTGCTAGAGTCTCCTCATAAAACTGCCACCTACCCATTCATCCTCTCCTTTCTCACCAGGTTCTGTCTCTGTGAGACCAGCTGCCCCCAGGAGGACTATTTTCCCCCTAACCTTTTTGTCAAGGTTAATGGGAAACTCTGCCCCCTGCCGGTAGGTAAAGATTCTTCCCTTTTGGCAACAAATAAATATTAAGTAAAAACCCCTTCTATGTTGAGCACAGTGCCTGCCATGTAGTAGTTGCTCAGTTTATTACTATAATCTAGAGAGACCATGCTTCTGTGGAAGGCCATACATCCAAGAGTATATGGTCAACACAAACTACCTGACCTGTTAATGGTGGGGGGGGCTCAAAGTTGGGTGAGTAGAAAAGTGGGTGGTCCTGGGAAGAACTGAGGATGAGCCTGAATAGGATCAAAACACATGGTGTGGAATTCTCAGAGTTATAAAAAATGAGTAAAATAAAATAGGACTGAGTAATTTTTGTCAAATCCAGAAGAGGGATACTAGTTTAATATAAAGGTTTGCAAAAGACTTCTAAGAGGTTATGGTGTCAGATGAAAGCGGAAGATGAGAAGTGTCCCTGTTGTTCCCTGGGACTCACTCGACTGGGTTTCTAGTTCCTTGGTTAATAAATAAGCCCCCCGCCCCTGTCCAGAAGTGAACTTCTCACGGGGCCCTGTGTAGGGCCCTTGTTTTGTGTCTCTGAGTGGATCCTTACTCCTTTGCTCATGAGTTTGCTGGCCTCCCTCCAGAGAGTAATCTGAGACAGGATTCCTGTTGTTAGAGTTGAACCCCTTCCCAGTGCTCTGTCTCCTCTAACTAGTTCCTCCCTTCCTCAGGGTTACCTCCCCCCAACCAAGAATGGAGCGGAGCCCAAGAGGCCCAGCCGTCCAATCAACATCACATCCTTGGCTAGGCTCTCAGCCACGGTTCCCAACACCATTGTGGTTAATTGGTCATCTGAGTTTGGACGGGTGAGCCTAGCTGGAAGGCCAGCAGAGCTTGCAGAGGAGGGAGCCATCTGGTTTGGGGTTGGGGTTCATCTTGTTCTTTTGGGTCTGTTTAAGGCCAGTCTCTGGTCATTGTGAGACGAAGTATGTGGGGGAGGGGGAAGTGGGAAGCAGAAGCTAATTCTCCCTTCCCATTCCCCAAGTAGAATTACTCCTTGTCTGTGTACCTGGTGAGGCAGTTAACCGCAGGGACCCTTCTACAAAAACTCAGAGCGAAGGGTATCCGGAATCCAGACCATTCCCGGGCATTGAGTAAGTATCAGCCTTTTCCTCCTTCCACCTTGGGCTCAGGGGTTCCTGCTGCCCTCCAGGCTCTATCACAGGCTCTCTCACATGGTGTCTCCCGAACCGTGTGCTTCTCCTCAGTCTCTGTGGTTGAGAAATTAGGTCCTCAAGCAATGGGAATGGCTTTGCATTCCCAGTCATGCAACAGTTCTGTATCTCCAAGACCCTAATTCCACCCCTACTAGATATGAGCTCTCTGTAGTGCAGAATCCTAAAGTTCATTCAATCTGACCCTCACATGATGCCTTCTTTCCAAGTAGCCCACTCGTCACCCTGCAGTGTTTAAGCATCTTCAGGGATGGAGAACTCACTTCTCCACACCCAGCCTTATACAGATACACTCCTGTGCCATGCCACGGGCCCCCAAACGGTCCATTCAGCTGCCTCTCAGCTGGGGCCGCCTGCTCCCAGCCTCACTGACTCCATGGCTTTGGCCTCACTCTTGTTTCAGTCAAGGAGAAATTGACCGCTGACCCTGACAGTGAGGTGGCTACTACGAGCCTCCGGGTGTCACTCATGTGCCCGGTGGGTACCTGGGGTGAACGGAAGTGGGAGGAGGGTTGGGTTAAAGTCTGAAGAGGGTACTGAAGGATACTAGAGCGAGGTTTTCTATAATGAACCCTCTTCTTGTCAGCTAGGAAAGATGCGCCTGACTGTCCCATGCCGCGCCCTTACCTGTGCCCACCTGCAGAGCTTCGACGCCGCCCTTTACCTACAGATGAATGAAAAGAAGCCAACGTGGACATGTCCCGTGTGCGATAAGAAGGCTCCTTATGAATCTCTTATTATCGATGGGTAGGGCTGTGCTGCTTCCCTCTCTGCTACAACAGTCACTTAGATGCCTCCTCCACTTTGTGGCTTACTCCTCATGAATTGCAGCTCATCCTCTGCGTCTCCTTTAGTCACCTATCTGTGTGTGACATCAAGACTTACGCTAGCATTTGCATGCATTTTCTCATTGCGTCCTCTTAATAGCCCCACCGCATATGTGCCATCATCAGAGATAGGGAAAGGAACTAGAGCTAAAGGTCACATTTGTAAGTGGCAAGGCAGTATATTGAATTGTTCCAGTATATTGCCAGTAACAACTACCTGAACTTCCCACAGCGCTACACTGTCAAAAAAAAAAAAAAAATAAAGTGAAGCTCTTTTACATACTTCCCCCCACAGTAGTAGGGTTCAAACTCGGGGCCTGCATGTTAAGTAAGTGCTCCATTACTGAGCTACAGTCCCAGCAACAACTCAGTAGGGTGGACAATGCAGATGAGGAGACTGAGGCACAGGAAGTGAGCCTTAGAACACTGTTCTAGCCAGCTCCCAGCCTCATGAATTCCCATGTCCTCTTCCCCTAGTTTATTCATGGAGATTCTTAATTCCTGTTCGGATTGTGATGAGATCCAGTTCATGGAAGATGGATCCTGGTGTCCGATGAAACCTAAGAAGGAGGCATCTGAGGTTTGCCCCCCGCCAGGGTATGGGCTGGATGGTGAGTGACCCCCTGTTCCCCGATTGAGCTAAATCATGGATGGCCCTTTTTCTGAGACACAGTCTTAACCACCCATAGGCCTGCAGTATAGCCCAGTCCAAGAGGGAAGTCCATCGGAAAATAAGAAGAGGGTTGAAGTTATTGACTTGACAATCGAAAGCTCATCAGATGAGGAAGATCTGCCCCCAACCAAGAAGCACTGCCCTGTCACTTTGGCCACCATCCCAGCCCTTCCTGGAGGCAAAGGGTATGAGAAAAGGCTGCATCTGTAGCAAGGGACAGGCCAGCAGAACTGCTTTCCTATCACAGGCGGGCCTTGGGACAGGGAAGGGTGGATGGAGTGGGACCTAGGGCATCTGTGCTTGGCTAATTTCTCCAGTTCCTTCTCTCCATTCAGAGTCCTGACATCTGGTCACCAGCCGTCTTCCGTGCTGCGGAGCCCCGCAATGGGCACACTGGGCAGTGATTTCCTGTCTAGTCTCCCACTACAGGAGTACCCGCCTGCCTTCCCACTGGGGGCTGACATCCAAGGTATGACACTGATCCTAAAGTGGGGGAGCCCTGCCCTGCCATACGAGCCCCAGGGATAGGGGGATTTTTTTTCTTGTGAAGGGGTTAGATATGGGGGTTGATTTTGATTTTTCTTTTCCTACCAGGTTTAGATTTGTTTTCTTTCCTTCAGACTGAGAGTCAGGTAAGTGTTCACTCCCAGGAAGATCAGAGCTCTCGAAAGAGCTGTCTTTCCCTGCCCAGTCTCCATAGGGATTTCCAAATGCTCTCTGTGAGGAGGGTGGAGCAGCTCCTCTCTCCCTGTGCACTGGCACTTCATGTTCACACCTTTGCCTTCTGAGCTCCTTTCGTGTAGTTCTTTCTGCCTACTCACACCCACATGTACTTAGGGCCTTCCTAGTGCACGGTGCACACATTTCAGATACCCACAAGGCCGGGGACTGGGTATCTGGAGGGGCTATCTCAAGGCAAGGCACAGGGAAGGGTCTGGGGAAGTGAGCCAGAGTTGGGACCCTGCTTTTCCTGTCTCGGATGCCTTGAGGTCCACTAGGGTTGGTAGCCCACAGGATGAGTGTTGGGAGGTTGAGTGGAGATAAAGCTGTGCCCTTCATCCCTCCAGCACTATGGTCCTTCTGGCATCACTTCGCTAGATGAACAGGACACCCTTGGCCACTTCTTCCAGTACCGCGGAACCCCTTCCCACTTCCTGGGCCCACTGGCTCCCACATTGGGAAGCTCTCACCGCAGCTCCACTCCAGCGCCCCCTCCTGGCCGTGTCAGCAGCATTGTGGCTCCTGGGAGTTCCTTGAGGGAGGGGCATGGAGGACCCCTGCCTTCAGGTCCCTCTCTGAGTGGCCGGAGGTCAGATGTCATTTCCTTGGATTGAGTTACTTGGATTATGTAACCTTTACTGGTCCCCAGCACTCAGCAGATGTGCTGTGGGTTCCCAGCCCCTGGCTACCCTGATCCCTCGGGGTTCTTTAGCCAGAGGCCAGACCAGGCCTTCATGGATCCCTGCTTTTGGCCTTATCTATGCCTAATAAGGCCAATACTCAAAGGGTTAACATTTAACCTGTTTTAAAGGGTGTTGGGGTCTGTGCTTTGGAAGTGTTCTTCGATGGTGGCACATTCCTTTGGGTATGGTGACCTAGGCAGTGGGAGGCAGACAGAGGGGTAGGAGCTGAGGGAAGAGGGAGGAAAGGCACTTTCCTGGCCCCCAAGATGTTTTCCCTTCCTGAACCCAAACATGTCCTTTTTATGCCCATTATTGTGCTCTCTTTGGCCACACAGTCCAGTGGCAGATCTGAGACGTGAAGCTTCAGAGATGGACAAACTATTTTGGGTTGCAGATTTCTTTTTTTGTACATAAATAAGAAAACCCCAAGTTATCCAAAGATGACCTCCCCTGCCTATTACTCCTGGTATGACTCAAGGAGGAGGCAAGGCCTTAGCTGTGATCCCCAGGGGCTCTGGAGCTGGGCTTGGCCTGCCTACAGTCTGGGTCTCTCTATTTATATATTTAAGTTCACTATGTTTCTTATGCTAAACAACCAAGGGCCTATGCTTCTAGTGACCTGTGGTCAGGCCTAGATTCTGCACCTTTTGTGGGACGTGTGGGCCCTGTGTTCTCCTTCCCAATACTCAGGCCCCTTTAGGGCCAAGGCCCTATGTTGTGATTTTACTTTTTATTCTCAGAGTTGTAGCAGAGTTCTCACCTACAATAAAGGTTGTGAATGTTCTGTGACCATCATGGAGGAGTAGAGATTTTTGTCTCTCCCTTTCCAGACCCCTGGTTTGTGGGAAAGAGGGTCCATGTTCCATCTTTTCACTTTTAGAAAACATGAAGGTTTTCACTACTGCCTTGGCTTTGCATGTGCACATTAGAGGGCCTTTATGGAGTAGGACCTCTCCTACCACCTTGGAGGAGATTGCAGCTCTTGAACTCAGGTCTCAGATTTTGGCCTTTACATGCACCATCTCACAGACCCCATCCTTCCTTTGTTGGTCCGGGGTCCATGTAAACGTCACTTTTACCTGGAGAGAGTGGGGGCATTCACAATAAGCATATGGCATCCATAGGAATACTAGACCATCGCAAACCAATGCTGTGGTACCCTCAAGGCATTCCTTACCTTCAGCGGCCCAGATGTTGCAGCCAGAGCCTGAGGGCAAACCTGGTTCCAGGGCTGAGCCTTTCTTTGTCCTCTGCTGTGGTTGGGGTTGTCCGCAGGAGAGTGGACATGGGCAGGGCAAAGGGTTGGGTCCCTCCGTCATCCTTCAGTTCGGTTGCACTGAATTGGAACAGTTTCTCTCTAGGTGTGCCCTGTGGCTTACAGTGAACTTTAGTATATTGGGCCATTTAATCCTCCCAACTATTGCATGAGGCAAGTGAGTGTTACCTTCTCTTACCAGAAAGGAGACATACTCAAGGAGGGTTAAGTGACTTTCTCCTATGGGAGGGTAGTCAAACCAAGGTTTCAATGCTAGCTAGTTGGAGCAGGAACACTTAACATTTTGGAGTCTTTGATCTCAGGTGGTCTTTTAATTGTCCATAGGCCAACTTGCTCCCCAAATCTCTTCCACAGCCTGCAGTCCCAAACTGCAACACCCCCATGCATGCATATGCGCGTGTGTTTTATATGCCAGTAGCTAAAGTTCATACCTGAGAGAGGGTGGCAGGCCCTGGAAGTGAAGTCTGAGTGTGTCTGTGTCATCCTCCCCGGCAGCCACAGCTGCTGCTACCTCAGGCCCCAGCCACATAAAGGCGTCCACCTCTTTTGGGTTTATTTGGATCCTGGCCTGGGTTAGACATTTTGATTCACCACTGAGGGAAGAGGCCACAGGAGGCAAGGAGAGCAGGGCAGGGACAGCCTGAGGCTCGGTCATCCCCCCTTGTCCTCTTAGTCACAGAACTGGGTGGTATGCCGTGCCCTCCACTGCCAAGCCCACCTGCAGCTGCTGCTGTGATTCCTGGGAGATGACAAGTACCAAGAGAACGAGGTGATGATATTTGGGGAAACCCCAGCTCAGCCTAGGAGGGTAGGCAGACTAAAACAAAAGAAAGCAAAACATCAGATCACCATAGCATGTTGACAAACTTCCAACTTTTGAGACTTTGTAAATAGAGCTTTAGGGAGACAAAATGCTGGCCCAGAGCCCAAGGACTAGGTGGTAGGTAACAGGTAAAAGGGACATAGGTGAGGGCCATGGTTTGGGGACTGCAGCCCATTCACATTTCCTTTCACCGGTGGCCAAGGCAGATAAGGGTTGTTCAGAAGGCTTGAGGGTTCATTGAGGTCTGCCTCACCTCCCACAACCCCAGAAGGACACAAGAGAACTGGTTCTGGGGCAGCTGTAGTCCACACTCTTCCCGCAGTTCTCGAAGCCCGCACTTCAGTATCTGGGAGTCAAAGGGAGCAGGCAAGTGTGTCCAAAGCTTAACCCCACCACGTCCATTCCTTTGCCCCTCAGCCCACACCCAAGGCAACCCCACTCAGGTCTCCTGGTTGGGTGGGCAGACTGGTACCTCCTCATCGGGTTCCATGTGGCCGCCTGCAAGAAGAGTGGACCCAATAGTCAATGGTGGTTGCATTCACCAGGGATCCCATCCTCCAGGGGGCAGAGGAAGTTTGTAGCTGTGGATATACACCTTGGGCCATCCACCGTACCAGACTACCCAATAGCAACGCGAAGGGAAAGGGCACTGTCTTTCATCGTCTGTTCCTAGCTGCTCACCTGGAGGGACCCAGACATTGGGGGAAATGCGGAGAGTGCATGGCCTTCGGGTCAACAAGACAGTCTGGTCACTGGACTGAAGAACGACGGCCACAATAACATCCACACCTCTGTTTGTGGGCAGCTCGGTCCTGGAGCCCACAGGCTGCTGACCCAGAGCCGCAAAGGGGCAGAAAGGGGGTCTCTGACAAGAGGGAGTTGACTGGGCTAAGGCTTTGAAGCAGGGTAGAACTTTCAGAAATTAGGGGTGCCCGCCGTGGGAGCTGGTATGTTGCCACCTGTCGCCACCCTCCTCTTTTCCCATCCTCAAGCTGCCCTCACTTTCCGTGCGGATTCCCTGTCACACAGACCTGGATTGGAAGCCTCTCCGAGGCGCCGGGGAATGAACTGCTGGAGAGGATGAGCTGTCCGCGCTCAAAGCGGCAGTGTGTGTACCATGGCCCAGGTCCCTGCCCTGCGCCCAGGAGGCCACACACACTCTGCTTGAAGTTCACCGACTCCAGCCGCCCAGCCAGGCGCAGCAACAACCGTGCTGCTGCCATCCTGCTGCTCTGGTCGCCACTTGCCTGGCGCCCTCTGGTGGCCCAGCGCCAAGAGGCGTGCAGCTTCCGGTCTGCCCATGCAAGGCAGAATTTCCAGACCGGCTGGGAAATTTAGAAACAATTTTTTGGGGCAATCCCTGCGTGTGATGCTCATAAAACAAAGAAACCCACTACACATATTCATTTCCTCTTGAGTTCTTTCTGACTGCTCTGTTTTGGGACAACAATCCCCAGGCTGAATGATTTCTGGACAGGTGTGTTATTCCCTGACAGCCCTAGGTTGAACTTCACCCAAGGCTCCGACTACCTCTCAGCAAGTAAGCGCCTTAATTACATTTCCACCTAATTATTAAAAAAAAAATGTTAAGCAGGATCTCATGTGGTCCAAGCTAGCCTCAAGCTAGCCTTCTGACTAGCTAGCTGGTCTCCATATCCAGTCCAGTTTGTGCAGTTCTGAGGATCAAACCCAGGACTTCTGTGTATATCATGCTTCATAAATGGTGGTGAGTAGCGTATAGGCAGAGATGATCTTTTCTCTTAAAAAATAACCATGTTTATGTCAATATGGGGGGGGGGCATGCACTTGCCATGGCAGGCTTATGGAGGTCAGAGAAGTTGGTTCTCCCCTTCCATGTGAGGTCAGGGAAACACCCCAGGTGTCACTGTCTGAGTAGAGTCAGGCCCTACTCTGTGATATGGAACCCATGACTGACACTTGCTGGGTTGGCCAAGAACTCGAGACTAGATAGCTGTGGATCTAGGGGAAAGCCAACTACTGTCTGCTAAAGGAAGGTAGCAGTAAATGACTACTATGACATTCTGCTACACTCATAGGCCAGTGTCTTGCTCAGCCATCATCAGAGAAGCTCCCTCCTGCAGTAGATGGGAACAAACACAGAAACCCACACCTGGACACTGTGCAGGGAGTGGGAGATCGTGGAACATTTAATTCCAGATAGGATGTCTTCATCAAACCCCTCTCCTCATGGCTCAGAGCTCAGAGATGGGAAGATGGCAAGAGCCAGAGGGGTGGAGCACACCTAGGACACAGGCCTTCTAGGCACAACAGGAATGGACAGAGATCATGGCTTCATGCATATGAGCAGTACAGGTCTAACTCAGATGGGGTCCCAGCACTGAGAGGGGAAGTAGACACATAACCCATCTTTAACTCAGAAGCTATTACAATTCATGATGCAAAGGAAAAAACTAAGTTTTCTCCATTGGATTCTCACTGGATAGATAAAGCATACTTAAGGGCAGGCCCAGCAGTAGATGGCCAACACCAATCAAGTTCAATGGTATTTTTTTTTTGTTGTTGTTGTTTCATAATGCTTTGTCTGCAATTTTTTTTTTCCCTTACAGATTCCTTGCTTTGTACATTATGGCTCCCAATTTTGTTTTTATATATGTTTTATATGTATGTGCATGAATGTGTAAATCTTAGTACCTGTATTTCTTTTGTCTTTGACTTTCTGTTTTGTTTGTCTTATACTATTCTGGTTTGTTTTTACTTTATCTTCTATTATTTTTAGATGCCTGTTTTCTAATGGAAGAGAAAGAGTATGGATTTTGGTTGGTGGGGAAGTAGGGAGAATCTGAAGTTTTTTCTTTTTTGAGACAGGGTCTCCTGATATAGGTCTGGCTGTCCTGGAACTCACTCTGTAGACCGGGCTGCCCTGGAACTCAAAGATCCACCTGCCTCTTTCCCCTGAGTGATGAGACAAAAGGCATGCAACATCATTGCCTGGCTAAAAACAATCTATTTCCAATTAAAAAAAAAATTAGAGTTGTCAAGGTTGATAGCAAGGAATTTTGGCCCCAAATAGGTTCCAGACTAGTGCCCCACTTAAACTGGCAATATAGTGAAACTCAAGTGTTGAAAGAATTATACATTGGTAAGAAGAAACTACAGGTCTTGTAAGCATCAATTAACTGCATTAAGAGAAGTGAAGCTACCGGGACAAACTGTATTCAAGATACAGACACCATCTAGAGTGGACCACTGGAGGAGGAGGGATGATTTTTGTGTTTATCATGTCCCGGACATTATATTCAAGTATTCTACACATGCAATTTCAGATGTGCTGGAAGACTGGACCTGGCAAATGTCTTTTGTTTATATATTCAATGTAACTGCTTGGGTCACTTTACCTGTCAGCTTTTCTTGCTGGGTGTGCAGTACATATTTTAATCCTAGTATTTGTGAAGCTGAAGCTGGAAGACTGCTGAAAATTACTGGCTAGCTTGATCTACACAGCGAGTTCTAAGCCAGTCTCACTATAAAGTAAGACCCTGTCTCAAAAACAGACCAAAACCAAAACCAACAACAAAAAGCCCCAAAGTCTTTCCTCTTTTTACAGCAGTGTTTGGCATTCTGCACACTGAGTGCATGTATGAAACATTACAACTCAGTGAAATAGGTGTAGACTTCGGCAAATGAATTAACTATTTAGTAAGAAACCTGAAAGACTGTGATGGTTTGAATATGTTCCAGTTTCCCCTGGGCATTTGAACATTTGATCCCTGACTGATGACACTGTTTGGGAAGTTTAGGAAGTATAGCCTTGTTGGAGGATGTCACTGGGTATCTTAGTTAGGATTTCTATTACTGTAAGGAGACACCATGACCTCGGCAACTCTTATAAAGAAAAACATTTAATTGAGGTGGCAGCTTACAGAGGTTTTGTCCATTATCATCATGGCGGGGAGCATGGCAGTGCACAGGCAGACATGATGCTGGAAAAGGAGCTGCTACACCTTGATCCTGCAGACAAAAGGAAGTGGTCTTAGACACTGTGAATGGCTTGAGCATGTATGAGACCTCAAAGCCCACCTCCACAGTGACACACTTCCTCCAACAAGGCCACACCTACTCTAACAAAGCCACACCTCCTAATAATACCACTCCCTTTGGGGACTATTTTCTTTCAAACCACCCCCGTGGGGCAGACTTCCTGCTCTAGCCACCATGCCTTCATTTTGCCATCTTGGACTCTGACCCTCTGGAACTATAAGCCCAGGAAGGAGCCTTCTTTTCTAAGTTATTTGGTCATGGCATTTCATCAGCACAGAAAACTAACTAACTCAGGGATGTTTTCTTAAGACAGTTCTCACTCTAATTTGCCCACACTAGCCTGAAACTTATTGAAAGGGCTAGGGTGGTGTTGAACTCACAGTAATCCCCCCCCTCCATCTTAGTTTCCTTACTAGTAGGATCACAGGTTGTGTGTTGTGTGAACTTGTTGTATGGGTATGTGCATGTGTGTCCAGACCAGAAGCTGAGTGTTCAGTGTCTTCCTGGATTTCTTCCTATTATTTCTACACTTGTGTGCATGTGTATGTATGTATCTGTGTGTGCTGGTGCCCATGTAGAGGCCAGAGGACAGTTTGTGGGAGTTTGTTTTCCTCTACCATCTGGGTTCTGGAGCTAGGTCATCAGCCTTGGTGGCAAGCTCCCTTATGTACTGAGCCATCGTCTTGCTGGCCCTCCACCTTATTTGTTGACAGGATCTCTCACTGAACCTGAGACCATCAACTTGTCTAGACTGGTTGGCCAATGCATTACATGCCCATCTCCAGGGTTAGGGTTACAGGCATCACACCTGGATTTCACACAGGTACTGAGCTTCTGAACTTAGGTTCCTGAGCAGCACGTGTTTTGCTGGCCCTTCACTGACTTCCTGATAAGAATTGATACATATAATTTATGATTAATCTCATTTATTTAAGGTTCCTACCACTGTGAACAGATGAAAGAATAAAGTGATGGATATGAGTCTATTAACAAATTTTACAAAATATGTCAAACTCTGGTGTATCATGGACAGCTAGGGCTACACAGAAGAAACCCTGTCTTGAAAAACCTAAAAAAAAAAAAAAACAAAAACCTGCAACTTATCCCACTACAAAGAATGCATCCAAGCACCTTCTTTTTTTCCTGTCTCCTAGACTTCTTGAGAGGACGCTGGTTTCTGGTTGGGTGGCTAGCATGTGACAGGCCCTGAGTTAGATCCCAGCACTGCTTCCTCTGGGTCACTGTCTCTTCATGGTGCTCTCGATGTATGACTCCAGTAAGAAGATGGTTTCATCTACCTGGATCTCACTGGCATCCAACCTGAGTGAAAAAGGGAAAGCATTTGCTTGGGGTTGCTGCTCATTAGCATATTTAAGAACAGAGGCTGGGCTGGGTGTGGCCTTGGCAGGATTGCTTGTTCATATTGAGCATGCGGCAAGAGAACCAGGAGAGCCTGCACTTAAGTTTTACTTACAACCATGAGAAAGAACAGCACATGTGTGTAAGAGCAGAGGTAAAAAGGGATTGTGCTTTGAAACCTTGAGAAGGTGAAGAGTCAGTGTTAATCAGGTAGAGTAAGTAACTTCCCCAATCTGATAAAACCAAGGAGGAAAATAAAACCACCGCTAACACCACACTTAACAGTGAAAAACTCAGTTTCCTCCTTTAGATCTGGAACAAAGCCAAGATGTCCTTACAACATTCTACTGGAAGTGTTAGTCAAGGCAATTAGGCACATTAAAAAAAAAAAAAAAAGAAGAAGAAAAGGGCATCCAGGTCAAAAAGAAAGAAGTAAAACTTTTCACAAATTATACAAAAATCTCTATGAATCCATAAAAAAATTACTAGTACTACTAAATGTACAATTAGCAATCCCTGTTAGTGAGTAAAAGATGGAAGCTGTTGGGAGAACACTTACCCAGCTGCAGCTGGTTCTGGAATGGCTGCCCTTTTGTCTTCAGCATCTTTGTTTAGCATATATGAATCTAAGAGTTTCCCAAAGCCTAAGCAAACCTTGGCACACTGTGATAGTCCTTAATTGAGAATTTCCATTTGGCATTGTGCCTTTGGAAGCTCAGGATGTTTTGGGGATATGGAAATGAACTTGCTAAAGGTGTAAGCTGGAGAACAATAAAAAGCCCTTCCTTAAAAGAACGTCTCTCAGTCCCCAGGCAGCTGGAAAGGCTAAAATCATCCTTAAAGTGCCCTGTGTCTTCTTCCACAGACCTGTGTGAACCCACAACCATTCTGCAACAAGAAGTATATTATTGT